TATTTCTGAACAACAAGTAAAAGAAAAATATTATTTATTTTAATTAGTACATTTGTACCAATTAAATTTTTTTATATATAATTAAAATGTATTTATCAAAAAAGAAATTACAACTTTTGGAATCTAAATTTCAATTAAAATATTCATACGAAACTTTTCTTTTATTATATAGTCTTAACATGACCAGATTAAGAAAAAAAAATTAAATGAATGGTTAAATTGAACTGAAACAAAAGAAGAAGAACAATATTTCAAGATAAACTTTTTATATATACTTAATTATCTCGATCATTTGAAATTATATAAAAATAATTATTCATACAAAAAAGATGATAATGATGAATATCTTATGTTTATCTTAATAGGAGATGTTGAACAGATATATGATTCAATTAATAAGACATTTGGTTATAATTTTATTATGATTAATGATCAATTAGATTTTAGTTTAAAAAATAATCATGATTCTCATACATTAGTCATTAAAGAATTTGTACAGAAAAAATGAGACATTAATTTTTATCTTACTTTTAATAATAGAACTGATCAGATTATTTTTTTTATTACACAATATGAAATTAATGATTGGAGAAAAAAGTTTGGTCTATTATATTACTGAAATGATGAAAAAATATTCAAAGAAAAAATTACTTGGCGAATAGAGCAATCTATCTTGTTAAATCTTAAAAACATGCAAGATTCAGAGATCAAAACTATTTTAGAACTTAAATTTAACAAATTATTAAATCAAACTATTTCTAACTAGTGTTTAAAAAATTGATAAAGTTATCTATTTAGTCTAAAAAGACCAAATAAATTTCTTTGTATGTAATTTTAAAATAAATAGACGTGAAGATTTTATTACTGAACCTGACATAAACACTTTTTTCATTTATGATGCAATTGATTATTCAAATAATGAAGGATACTTTTTACGATTATATACAGTTTGTTCAAATAGTCGTAAATTTTTAATCAACATTATAATCCAAGATATCTTCTTCGATATAAAATTAAACCAAGAAAATTCTATTTTATCATATACAAATGAATTTAAACCTCAAAGTTATGAAATTATTTACAAACAACTATTCGATTCTACTAAAAAATTTAAATTTATTCGATTTTATTTCAAAAATCATAATGAACATAAAAAAGTACTCGATAAGATTAAAAATCAACAAAAAGAATTAGAAGAAGAATTAAATAATATCAAGTTGATAAAAGAAAGTAAAAAAAAAGATAAAGAATCTGAAAAATGTATAAAATTTTCTAAAAAATATGAAATAAGAGAAGTGAAACTTAATAAATTATTAGATATATTTTGGTTACGATATGATATATATTCAGATGACAATACATGTCATTATCGAAAGATTACATACGAAAATAATTTTGAATTAGTTGGATAGTATGAATTAATAACAGAAGGATCAGATAAATTAAAATTAGTAAATGATATGAACATTATATTTGATCAAATACAAAAAATTGAATCGACAACAATACTTAAATTATTCATGTTATATTGGAATATAGAATTATGTTCAATACAAGGTCCAGGATTTTTACTAATAAGTAAAGAAAAAGATGATTATGTTTATATAATTCAGATGGATCTTTGTTTATTGAACAGTAAAGAACCTTTAAAACGATACAATATATCAACATTAACAATAAATAATAAATTATTTAAAAAAAATTATAATATAGATAATATAGAATTCATTAATGCAATAGATCAAAAAGATTTATTGTTAAAGTATGCAGAATTATTTGAATATTTACAACCAGATTTTGAAATTGGATACAATACTGAAAGTTATGATTAGAATTTTGTATTTCGAAAATCAATCATATTGGAAATTAAAGAACAATTTGTCGATAATTTATTAAATAAAAAAAAATCTGCAATAAAATATTATGTTAGAGAAACAACAGTATGAGTTGTTGATAAAGATATTGAAGAGAAAATGCAAAAATATGAATTTGCAGGAATCAATATTAATAATAGAAAGATA